TTCCCAATAATGTTAGGTTTTATTAATTAATCCTCATTAATATAGATCTTATATTGTAGAAAATATATACGCATGCTCATTACTTAGGAAGTTAATAAATAAATATTGATTATTTGAATAGACAAAAAACTTATATAAAAAATTAAACCAAATTAAAATTATATAAATAATAATTTAAAAACAATCAGGTTAGACTGGATTAGATTAACTAGTCTGAGGGGCCAGTCCTTAGTCCAGTCCAGCCCGATGAGACTAGTCCTCGTCCAGTCTTGTTTTGAGCTAATTTTTTCTGGACCAGACTAGACCGGGTTTGCTTGGATTGGACCGGACCATACCGGACCACCGGGTTTTTGCACAGCCCTAATGATCACAAAGCCTCAAAAAGGAATTGGGAAACGTGAGGTCCGAGAATCAGTAAATGCCAAAAGCTGATCAACCAAGATTATGGGTAAACTAAATCTTACAAGATAAATCACATATTCATGAGTTTTGCAGTAGCCATGGTTCAAAACGACCATTTTTGTTAAGCAGTCCTTTTAATAAGATGAAGTAAACACGATAGAATTAGCAGAAAACTAAATGACAGACGGAAGGGAAAGAAAGATGGAAGAGTAAAATTCAACGACTAAAATTTTTAGTTGGTTGGGCTTTTTGAAGCAGTGATTACTATTGTTAGATCAAATTGACTATTGGATGATTAGATCATTGATTATACACTACCTCCGGTTTTTAATATAAAATCCTGTTTGATTTTTATTTTGGTCCTAAATATAATACCCCAATTCATTTTTGTCTCTCATATTTATATTTTTTTTCCAAAGTAACCCTTCTAATAATGATAGTTCTAGTTAATAAACTTGATTAGTAAAGATATTTTAGGAAAGACAACACCTATTTAGGACAAATAACTAACTCAACTTATTTTTTTAATCTCCTCAAATTAGTCAACTAACTCTTATAATTAGAACTGGAAGTAGTATTTTATAAAGAAACTAGTGGGAGTACCATTTGCTTGAGATGTTTTCACTCTCTTTTCAAGGGTAATTTGAATGCTGTTTCAGCTTTATATTTCTTGAACTATTGTTGCTTCAACCAAATGAAGAAACCAAGTAACCAACTTGAGTGAAATAATTCTCAATTTCTGATACCTAATTTCAGTGTTGATTAGGTCATAATATGTTTGTATACGAGTTAATACCATTTGTAGTTCTAAAATTTGACTGCGTTCCATCTTTGAAATTTAAAACTAATGGTTTTAATTTTTAAAATTTGATTTCATTTTCGTTCATTAAAAGATTTTTGTTTTCGAGAGTGTTTTCAATCTTTTAAACTTTTGGTTTCAAATTTTAAAGACTAAAATCAAAATAATATTAATGTTTGAGGATTAAAAATTGTATTGACTCTATATACAGAGAGAGAGAGAGAGCCATCAAAAGTAGAGGAAGGTAGGGGGCCTTTGAGAACACCGAAAAGTTCTGTAAAATAAAACAAACTCATTCATATATTTACTTTATATACCGTAACAGTATTTTTTAAAACCATGATTTAATTTCTATTTAAATACCTCCGAGGAAAGAGGACCATTCTCCATAATTATTGCTCATTTCCGTCTCTGTCTTCGGGGGTTTTGATGGGTTAATTCCATTAGTGGTTAACTTGAAAAGGACCATTCTCCATAATTATTGCTCATCCCGTCTCTGTCTTTGTCCTTCTCCTTAGCTATCTGCTGCTCACATCCACTCTTCTTCTTCAATTGGCTCAGTTTGACGATGACTGTTCCAACCTTCTCGTTGTCTTTGCATTCAAATTTAAATTCTATCCGATCCTCCCAGGGGAAAAAAATGAGGACCAAAGAAATCCAAAGCTACATTAAATATGCTACAGACAAGCTACAAGTTCATCGTTCGCAGCAACAATAGAAAATCACATGATTCGGATCGCCCTATTTTGATTGCACTTCTTTACTTCCACGAGCTTCCTATTTTCCTTGACCCGTTTGTCAGTCTAAGATCGCAATTTAATTATATGCGCTTGGACCCCCGTAATCTTAAGTAACGTGGGCCCTACTTCTTGTGGCACACCCACCCACAAAAAGTATAACATTCACATGAACATTTATATATATATATATATATATATATATAATATGATTTGTGAAGGTATATGCAAACCTGAAGCTTTTTCTATAGGGCATTTCATTTAAACGTCACATTTATATATTGGGAATTAGGAAATTATGTAATGCACGAGACATCCTTTTTAGTTTAGATTATTTAAATCATATTTAGAGAGTTAATTTCTCTTGTAATGTTAATATTTTATAACTCTAAAATGAACGAACATGAAATTAAATTTTTTTAAAATAATTAATTAAAAATTTCAAAAATATAAATTTAAACAGTTTAAACAGCACGTTCATTGTTCGGAAGATCCGTGAATGAATGTGGTTTGTGGGACATCAAAAGGTCTGGTTTGATGGTTTCATCATCACGAATCTGACGGAGAAAGGGTCCCACATATTTTTACAAGGTTCACTCGTCGTATCCCAAGTCATTCAATTCAGAAACCAAGGATGATGTTGATGATTGCGATGAAGAACAAGACAAGTTGGTAGCATTTGTTACTATTTGGTCGGGAATACCTTTTTCTTTTTTTTGGTGAGGTCGAAGATAAAACAAAACAAAATTAAATATATAGTCTAATTTATATTTCAACATAAATATTAACACAGTGATTAAATTTATTTTATATCTTAAAATTTATTTTATTTTTTAATTTTACCCTTAACTAAATGTTAGCCCCCATCTACAAATAACCAAATGACCTATTGGTTAAAAACAATAGATATATAAAAATACAGCTCATAAATAAAAACAGACCATCTTAACTTTTTTTTTTATATGTATAGAATGCTATGGTATTTTTTAGCTTTAAGTAAACACACCTCTGTTAAGGAAGAGTATGGGTAATTTAAATCACTCATAAGAGATATAAAAAAATTTTAATCATTTCTAAAAGCTTATAATGTGATTTATAATTAAGCACACAAGCACTCCCAAAAATTGATTCTCACCACGGGAATGGAGGGAGTAAATCAATGTTGATTTATATAAATGTAAATATTATTGTTTTGTTTTAAAGGTTCGGCCGCAGCAACACAACACAAAGTTAATTACTATAATTGAATGATGAATAATTTATTATTAAAAAAATTACTTAGACATAATGGCACTAGAAAGTGGAAACTTGCTTTCCGACGCTCCTACTAGGTGGGGTGATAATTGCTATCTATGCTTGAAGAAACAGCAATACCTATAAATCTATGAACAATAATCTACACACGCCATTATGAATTATGAGTGCTGATTCATTTTAGCTTCTGCCTTTTTTCTTTTTTAACCTAAAACTAATAATAATATTATTATCGGTTCTTAATATAAGAGTTAGTTTTATTTTTAATTTAATCTTAAATATAAGATTTCAATATAATTTATCTCTTATATTTATTCATTATTTTTTAAGTAACTCTTATAGTAGTGATACATGTTAAAAGTTCCGTCAAATAGTAGTTCTACCTAATGTATATGATTAGTAAGAGTACTCTAGAGAGAACGACACATATTTATTACAAATAACTAATTTAACTAATTTTTTTAATCTACTTTAATCAGTTAATTAGCTTTTATGTTAAGGATAAGTAGTTTCGTCAGGAAAAAAAATTGAATGAATAAATTTAGAGGGGCTTAGTTTGATGATGGTGATTGGAGGAGCAAGATGGTGAGGCCAACAAAGAAGCACGTATGAGCAAGAGAGAGTGAAGTTTCAACATAATGTAAAACTAAACATAGAAGGAGAAGAGAGAAGGAAGCATTAAAAGGGACAAGTCAAGTGCACGTTACTTTCAAGCAAATGTGTGGGGCTTTCACTTTAACCCATTTGGTCTCCTTCCTCTGCTTCTCCTGTTCTCTCTAAAAAAGACAACTCTGTGTTACTTCCTCACATCATTCTTCACCCTCCACGCTACTTTCTCCCTCTACTTGTTAACCTCATACCACACCTATTCTTATTATAAGTTACCCCTAACTATTTTACCGAAGTTAAGAAGAGATGGTTAAATTGTTAATTTTGTTTAAAATAAAATAAAATTTACCCTTATTTAAAACTATGAATTGTAATCTTACAAAGCAAAAAATGAAAATTACATCAAATTTTAAGTAAGGGTGATTTTGAATATGAATAATATAACACCTTATTTAGTGACGTATAGTAAGGATCGCCATTTATTTTCATAAAATATCTTATAATAAGAACCGGATTTGCATATCATAATTTCATATTAAGAAAATAAAGAGGCAGTCTTGTGCACAAGACGATGCATGTCATACATGTTTGAGAGCAATATATAACATGTTTTCTATGTTTCCAAAATATGCTTAATTTTAGAAGATGGAAAGCTAATTATACAATACTTGTATACATGACCTTTTTGTGGTTATTTTGAAATAATATCTTACTATTTTTAAAAGATGAAAGAATTGTAATTTTAGTAAAATTTAAAAATAAATATGTATGTTGAAAATGAGGGGAAAATACCCATATAATTTTAATCAAAATAGAGTGAAATTTATGTAAAATTTAAAAATAGAAAAACTTCATTTAAACGTGAAAAAATGATATGTTCTGAAAATAACTGAAAAATAGCATATGATTAATTTCAATAAAAGTCATGAGAAAATTACGTATTTATAAAAACACACACATTTCGTATACATGTCGTAGAAATTAATAGAAATATATAAATTAAGAAAAAAATCAATAAAATGTGTAACTTACCTTTACATTTACTTATAGGATTTATTTTATGCGTGTGAAGGTCACATCAATTTGTTAAAATTAATTTTTTTCCATCACATGTATTTAAGAATTTATTGTCCTAATCACCTAAACCACATGAACTTGTCCAAGAACTCAAACCACTGTCAAATTTTTAGAACCCCAAATGGCCAAATCACATCATGACAAGCTCTGATTGCTTAATTGCACATTACAAGTAATCTTCTTCCATCCATTGCTGCTTTATTCAAACCACAACATCCCATATATATAACACCAAACACACCATACTAGAGACTGAATAGCTGCCAATAAAGCAACATCTACAACAAACATATCCACAAAAAGACTAATGAGAAGCCAACTTATTCCCACTATCTTACAGGAAAAAAAGCTTCACAAGGAAAAGAAACTGCACTACTATTTCTGATACTCCATTGTATTTTTTGTACATTCCAATCTGCCAAAGTGAAAGAAACAAAGGAGTCAACAGAGAGATAGATTAGAGATATATATACCCACACACACACACACTAATTCTAGCTTAGATTATTTAACTTAAATCAAAAAAGCGTATCATTTATGGGGTTGATGTTGAACCGCATGATTAAAGTTAGGTGCATTGAATGTTAGTACAAACTAATCTATAATTGTCCAGGTGTTGGTGGCTTAATGCTTCAAGAATAGAAGATGTCACGGACCATAATAAAAAAACCGTATCGTTTCTTTTAAACTTGAGTAAGTGCATATTAGATGAACAAGTACAGCATCATTTCTGAGGTCATAAACTCAAAAAAGGATTAAAAAAAGTCAACAGAAATGATAAACAATGTTTAATTGAAAGATTCCACAAGTTAGTGATTTATTTATTTTTTTTCCCGGCCAGTTTAACTACCGGTTTTAAATTAGTCTTGGCAATAGTGAGCTGTTCTTATTTCAAATAAACTTTGGTGGAAAGGGGAATACACATGGCAGAAAGCAAAACCACTCCACAATCATGGCTGGCTGCAGCACTAAGCAGCCTATGAACTAGTTCTAAACATTACCTAACTGAATGCTGAGAAATTTCTTCAAGTTAAAAGGAGATAGAGTTTAAATTTTTGGCCAAGTTAAACTGAGAATTTATACCTTAACGTGCTTGCTAAGAGTGAAGATTCTCATTCAGCTCAAATATTTCAGGGGTTGGTGAAAGCGATGTTTAAGCACCGGCGATTGACCAATTCCCAGGGAACGCTGATCCGATTCCAGCCTCTGTAGTCTCATTTGGTTGAGGAAGTTTTGAATAAAAGCTTCGGCTCGCACATTAACCTCTTCGGAAGTCATGGATATGTCCCTCCGAAGCGACGCCGCGTCGTTGAAAGTTTCAGATTTTGTCACTTCTTTGCGAGCCCAAGCCACTGGGTCGTCTTCTCCATCTTCATTGTCCCGAAACGGCTCTGCTTTCTCAATCCTCGCACCGCAAATGTCGCTCTTCTTCAGCTGCGGCACCTTCGTCTTCTCCTGCCCCTTCATGATAGCCTTCCACGTGGCATCTAGCGTGTCATCGGCGTCCGGCGTCGCATAGTCGTTGGCACATTTTTCCGGTGGTGGGTCGGCGCAGGATTTGCGGCAGGAGGAAGCAGGGTCGTCAAGTACTGTTTTTTCTTCTTCCTCGGGGTCATTGCTCCGGCTTTCAGGCTCGGGTGGGTGGTCTGGGATCAAGTCTGGAACGACATAATCAGATTCAGTCATGACATCGTCGGCGGCGGAGACGGTCGTTGTGTGCTTAGGATCGGCGGGTGGGGGATCGTAAAAAGGGACAGTTTTGATGATGATGAGGAGGAGGAGGTTGACGATGAGGAACACGAAAACAGGGGAAAGGGAGGTTTTTGCAGAAACCAAAAGACTCGGAAAAGTTGATAGAAGGAGATCAAAAACACAAGGGATTATAGCCACTTTCAACAAAACCAGAATGGATATAAACCCCATGGACATGAACACAATCGAAGCAACCTTTGATGGGTGTCGAAAAAGATCCATCTTTGGAGAACAAGACAACTAAACCAGAACTAATTATTTTCTGCTTAGGGAGGGTGAGACGTGAGACGAGCACAGCGATACCCAGAATCAAAAAGTCTGGGATGAGGAATGAAACAAAGAAGCAAGAATTCTACGGGAATAAAAAAGAACAGAGAAGGAAACTCTAGGAACTGGGGCGTGCTGATTGATTAGTGATACGAAGGAGGAGGGAAAGGAATGCATCAAAAGAGATAAGAAAGAAAGTGGGGTTTGGGAGGGAGAGTAGAGAGTTAGAGTAATGAGTTGTGAGGGGTGGATTAGTGAGTCAGGAGAAAGGTAATCAGAGAGGGACAGGGAAAGCGGGGGAGGCTGAGAGCAGAGGACCACGCTATGAGATGACGATTGTATATGAGCAACGAAGCTGCACAGTCATCGTGGACACGGCCAAGCTTTGATTTGTAATTTAGGGACAACTGGGTGGATCCCCGATTGGAAATTCAGTTAGCAAATAAAATAATATAGGACTCAATTATTAAGTTGGTTTCGGTTTTTAATATAAGTCTTATTTTTCATATTTATCAATTTTTTTTAAATTACCCCAATAAATACTCCCTCAATCATAATCAAGTAGAAGAGAAAGATGAAGTGTTAAGAAAGATAATTGTGGTATTTTAGAAAAAATGTGTCACATTTCTTATAATTAACTAACTCGCCTAACTTCTTTAATCTAATCAAATTAGTTAAATGAGTCTTATATTAAAGACCAGAAGAGTAGTATCTGAGTTGCACAAAAAAGAAAGTTATATATAAAAGAAGTTGAGTTTCATATGGAAAGATAGATGTACAAGATATTATTTGGATACAAAAAACTAATTTATACACAGGAAAAAAATTAAAGACATACAAAAAAAGTTCAGTTACACAAAAAAAAGATTTAATATAAAAAAAGTTAAGTTATACTCAGAAAAAATTAAATTGCACAAAATACTTAGGTATTATTTACTAATTAAATTCTCGACGAAAGATTTTTTTTCCTTCACAATTCTCCCTGTAATTTAGTCCTCCGTCACTGTTTGAATATATGAATTCAATTTTTTTAAAAATATTCCGGTCAGAAACAATAATTGAATTTTATTAATATATTAACCAATTAACTTGGATCTTAATGCTGGAAAGTTCTCGGTTTGTTTTTAAGGTTATTATACTCGTCGTCCTTATAAAAACAAATAGGGAATATTTTTTTAGTATAAATTACCTTTTCACGACAAGTAATAAGTAATTTTAGTAAATTAAATTTGTTCTATCCTCATTTAATGCTCATCGTAGGGACGAGCACCATGATACTTATCGCTATAATATAATCTAAACCATCTAAAATCTGATATGCATAGTTTATATTTAAAATTTTTAATATACAATTTTCTTTAATGATAAGTTCATTTTTAAAAAAATGTTAATTATAAGATTATATTTATTTTAAATTCTGTATGTTTAAAATAAAAAATTAATTAAAATATATAAAAATTTTAAATTCAATCTTGGACCATCTAAAATCAATCTGGTTAGTCCAAATTGTGATGAGCACCCCATACTCATCATTCCAATAATCATGGAATGTACTCAGAAATTAAAAGACCTTTGGTCTTAATTTTTTATTTTATACTACTACTACTATTATTATTATATGGTCTTAGGTCATCCTCTTATGTGTTAGAATTTTTTATATTTTTAATTTTTCATCCTTTAAGTTTGTTCTCAGTTTGGTTTTGATCTCTCAAGTTTTAAATCACATGTTTTGATCCTTCAAGTTTCTTTTCATTTAAAATATTAATCTCTATAAAAACAAAAAAAATATATTAATCTCTATAATTCAATAAAACATAAACTATTTTGTCCCAAAAGATCAAAACTTATGATGTGAAATTTGAGAAACTAAAATTAAAATAAAAACAAACTTGAGAGATAAAAATTATATTAACCCTTTAATTAATTAAAAAATTAGAGAAATTAAGTGAAAAAAACTAATACTTTAAATAAAATATGTTATATTGAAATACAAACTTCTCATACCAAGGAGAGGATTGGAGGGAGAGCGTATTAAATTATTAATATGAATCACGACAAGTTTCATGCATTTATACAAACTTAAAAAAATGGGAACACTTACGACCTATCATCGTGTTCTACTTTTTCTCATTATTTTGTATAATTAGAATAAATAATTAAATTTTAAAAGACCAAAAAAAGAAAAAGAAACACAAGAAGAATAATAAGAAGAAGAATGGACGGCTATAAGTGGCGCGGGACAGATCGCAAGAAATGCGGAGCGGATTGGCCTCACTTATCACAAAAGAACATGTGGCTACGTCCGCCCATATGAACCTAACTTGATTAACGACGTGTGCTCTCATTATCAAATGCGACTTTATAATTTTTGAACTTTAACTCCAGCTTCCTCCCAGATATTAAACCCAAAAAAAAACAGATTATGTTTTTTTTTTTTGAAAATATTTATAAAGTAGATCAGTGTGGATATTAAATATTTTATCGCTGATGTATTTAAAATCAATTTTGCATTTCTCAAACATTTATTGAATAAGGAGTCACTCTGTCAACTGTTATTTTTAAACTTACATATTTTATAACTTAAATTCTATATATATACTACCTCCGGTCCAATTTATAAGAGTTAGTTAACTAATTTAAGGAGATTAAAAAAAGAAGTTAAGTTAGTTATTTGTAATAAATAAGTGTTGTCTTTCTTAAAATATATATATATATCTTTACTAATCAAGTGTATTGGCTAAAACTATTATTGTTAGAAAGACTATCTTGAAAAAAAAACATAAATATGAGAGATAAAGTGAATTAAAATATTATATTTAGAACTAAATAAAAGTCAAACAAGGTTTTTTTATTAAGGACCGGAGGTAGTATAAGCCAAAAAAAAAAAAACAGAGAACAACTCAGATATAATAAAAGTTTGAAGATAACTTCAGTGAAAATATTTAATATGAATAAAACGCGCAATATAATATATGTCTGTGTGTGTGTTCTCACATCTATCAGCTAGTCAATCTTGAATACGAGTTCTTCAAAAATGGATAGATAAGTTATTTATTTTCAAAGTTTTAAATAGAAATTGAAGACACTTTTATCCCTCCTACAGAAAAAAAAATGAGATTATTGGATTCTTTAAAATAACTTTAAACTTTAAGATATTTTATATGTAAAGTAATATATCGATCCAAGTCTTAATCGTTCAATCAAGAAAGTTTAAATAAGAAAAATATGACATAATTACTAATGAGAGTTCGCATGGCAGTCTTACGAATTATAGAAATGATGGATATTGACCGTTTTAAAAGCAATGCGTGCGACTATTTCTTTTCTTTATTTTATAAATGGAGTTTTGAATGTTTCCAATTTTAATTTCTATTTCTTTTACTAAACCCCTTCCCCATCCTAAAGCTAATTAAGAATTTTGGTTTCTTCAAGTTCTAGGGTTTGTATTCTGTTTCGGCTTTTTGGAATATTTTCATTTCTATCTTAAGTATTCGAACCCTTCTTTCTTTAAATAAAATATTGAATTAAGATTAAGTGATTAAATATAAATAAATTGAATCTTTTCCATTTATGCATTTCAAAAAGTGATATGAAAGAATATAATATAATAATATTTAAGCAGCTATACATATATTAATTATACATATGTATGTATCATAGTCACACTATAATCTTCTTTTCCTTGCTATACTTCTCCCAGTATAAATGTGAAGTGTTTTGAGCAAAAGGATTCTAAAGAAATAAATAACATTCTTCAAATGTCATTTTGTTGGTTTTGCTTAATGTAACCTAATTAATAATATCATTATGTACATATTTTCACGAAACTTTTTTTTTTTGGCCAACCCACGAATATATATATATATATATATATAAGCAGCAATTTTTCCTACTTAATCAATATATGATGTGTCCATTAGAGCTTTCGTGTTTCTTAATGATAATGTAGCTTCGGTAATTTATGTAGCTATCTCTTTGCATGCATACGTATTCACTCTTATCCTCAAGAATTTTCAAAGCAACGCAAAAAATAAATAATATTAATCACTGTCAAAAATATAATATTCACCAAAGCAGCTAGCTAGCATTGCTCATGGATATTTTTTATTTTTTTAAATTCGTCGTATTACTTTCATGACATAAATTAACTTGTAACTAATGTAACGACATCAGAAAAGATACTTCAAATTTGACAGAAAAATAAAGTGACTAAAAGAAAAGGAAAGAGAAATATTATGATAATGCTTATTTAATTCAGACTAGTCAATTGCAAGCCCATTGATGTAACAATAACAATTTCTTTTTCTTTTTATTTTGGTGATGTGTAACAATAACAGTTTCAGAAGAGGATAACAATTGACTCGGTCAAAGCACCTTATCTTTGAAAAAAAAAAATGAAAATTTTGTTATGTGTAATATAAAATGGATATTTCTAAAGATTAGCTAATTATTTGCTGATTACCTTTCCCTCTATGACTACATAGCTGTGTAGATATTTGACGCTAGATATTTCAAACATGTGTCATTACAGAACTTTAGTCTAATATAGAATATAAAATTAAATTTGCATGAAACTATTGTTTACATTATGTGTGTATATTGTGTTGGCACTAGCTTTTTCTTTAAATTCCAGTACATAAGATCTTAATTTTTGAAATTAATATAATTTGAATAATAATTAACAAATTTTATCACGAGTTCAACAATTTTAGTAAGTAAATATTCTTCCAGTCCTTAATGTAAAACCTAATTAGAGAGTTAATGTTCAAACTATATGTAAGATTTATTTAACATATTTACCCTATTAATATTCTCTCAAAAATAATCAAATAAGAAATTGAGGAAGAGAATTAAGAAAGATATTTATGATGTTTTAATAAAAACATATAACATTAAATAATTTAACAACATCTTTAATATATTCAAATTAATTAAATAGGTCTTACATTGAGAAGTGGAGAAATAGCAGTTATTGATTTTTTTTTTTTTTAAGTCAAAGACAAAATGATACTAAAATGAAGCAAAATCCAGTGGAAAGCATCTTAAAATCAAAGAATTAGTTTTTAGAAATAACATATTTATTATAAGAATAATCACGAAAAAATGCAAGAATTTCCTATCAAGTAACATATGTAAATTCGTTTTGCCTGAAGCATTAAATCATTTTTTACATGCATAAACAGTATATTATTTGTATTGGTGCATATGATTTAAATGTCTATACAATTTAAATATATCTCGAAATTAAAGAGTTAAAATTTAAAAAACACAAAGAGCCCTATGAAGCCCATAG